ATTTATTCCTGCGCGGTGATAGCTGGAATTGTGAATTTGTCGTGTTGTTTGGACCTGAGTGGCCAGTCGTCGTGCGGCGATGGTGTAGTGATGTTAGCTTGCTGCGCATACTCCTCGTCGTTTCGTGAAAGTACGTCTTGTGGAGCCCTTGTGGGACGTTCGGTGCCCACCCTCCAGCTCAAGATTGTGCTTTCCTGGTGCATGAAGGCCGAAGCAGTACGCGTACAGACGTTATTGTTGAACAGAACATCATGTTCACATTAATTTTGTTCCTTTTTCTGTCCCTTTGGGAAAACGCGGCCAATAATTCAAAATTCCGCGGCAAATTCCGCGGGGAAAAGGGGGGTTTTCTGCGGCATTTTCTGTGGTAAAATCAAAAATCTGCGGCACTTTCTGCAAGTTTTCACCCTCCTTGTAGAGGATATGACATGAAGGAGCACTTTTCACACTATCCTTTGCAGTCACAAACTGACATGAGAGTGAAGAATTTTGGAGATCCTGCACTCACCCACACTGGCAAGAGCATAATGTGCTCCAACAGATCGCGAAGTAGTTTTTCTGCTGCTTTCTGAGTAGTAATTTTACAAATTTACCCTAAAAATTCAAATTCCGCGGGCAAAAGTGTAGATTCCGTGATTTCCGCGGATGATAGCAATTTCTGCGAAATTTGCCGCGACCGCGGAATCGCGTTTTTCCAAGGGGACAGCTTTTTCAGTCGTTGCATGTTATACATAGTGGACCTACAGCAGACTGTTCATCTGGTTTGTGATATTTCCTTCCTCTGTTTGTGAGTCCCTTTCCATCAATATGGCAGCTTGTTTTGATTTCCTTTTTTCAATTCATTTTGCTGTACTTCCTGTTTTGTTTGCGCCACTGCCCCTCACCTTCCTCAGTTCTCTGAGTGGAGGGCGGCGTGACCCCAAGGGGTAGCTGATTGATAGTAGTAGTAGTAGTAGTAGTAGTAGTAGTAGTAGTAGTAGTAGTAGTAGTAGTAGTAGTAGTAGTAGTAGTAGTAGTAGTAGTAGTAGTAGTAGTAGTAGTAGTAGTAGTAGTAGTAGTAGTAGTAGTAGTAGTAGTAGTAGTAGTAGTAGTAGTAGTAGTAGTAGTAGTAGTAGTAGTAGTAGTAGTAGTAGTAGTAGTAGTAGTAGTAGTAGTAGTAGTAGTAGTAGTAGTAGTAGTAGTAGTAGTAGTAGTAGTAGTAGTAGTAGTAGTAGTAGTAGTAGTAGTAGTAGTAGTAGTAGTAGTAGTAGTAGTAGTAGTAGTAGTAGTAGTAGTAGTAGTAGTAGTAGTAGTAGTAGTAGTAGTAGTAGTAGTAGTAGTAGTAGTAGTAGTAGTAGTAGTAGTAGTAGTAGTAGTAGTAGTAGTAGTAGTAGTAGTAGTAGTAGTAGTAGTAGTAGTAGTAGTAGTAGTAGTAGTAGTAGTAGTAGTAGTAGTAGTAGTAGTAGTAGTAGTAGTAGTAGTAGTAGTAGTAGTAGTAGTAGTAGTAGTAGTAGTAGTAGTAGTAGTAGTAGTAGTAGTAGTAGTAGTAGTAGTAGTAGTAGTAGTAGTAGTAGTAGTAGTAGTAGTAGTAGTAGTAGTAGTAGTAGTAGTAGTAGTAGTAGTAGTAGTAGTAGTAGTAGTAGTAGTAGTAGTAGTAGTAGTAGTAGTAGTAGTAGTAGTAGTAGTAGTAGTAGTAGTAGTAGTAGTAGTAGTAGTAGTAGTAGTAGTAGTAGTAGTAGTAGTAGTAGTAGTAGTAGTAGTAGTAGTAGTAGTAGTAGTAGTAGTAGTAGTAGTAGTAGTAGTAGTAGTAGTAGTAGTAGTAGTAGTAGTAGTAGTAGTAGTAGTAGTAGTAGTAGTAGTAGTAGTAGTAGTAGTAGTAGTAGTAGTAGTAGTAGTAGTAGTAGTAGTAGTAGTAGTAGTAGTAGTAGTAGTAGTAGTAGTAGTAGTAGTAGTAGTAGTAGTAGTAGTAGTAGTAGTAGTAGTAGTAGTAGTAGTAGTAGTAGTAGTAGTAGTAGTAGTAGTAGTAGTAGTAGTAGTAGTAGTAGTAGTAGTAGTAGTAGTAGTAGTAGTAGTAGTAGTAGTAGTAGTAGTAGTAGTAGTAGTAGTAGTAGTAGTAGTAGTAGTAGTAGTAGTAGTAGTAGTAGTAGTAGTAGTAGTAGTAGTAGTAGTAGTAGTAGTAGTAGTAGTAGTAGTAGTAGTAGTAGTAGTAGTAGTAGTAGTAGTAGTAGTAGTAGTAGTAGTAGTAGTAGTAGTAGTAGTAGTAGTAGTAGTAGTAGTAGTAGTAGTAGTAGTAGTAGTAGTAGTAGTAGTAGTAGTAGTAGTAGTAGTAGTAGTAGTAGTAGTAGTAGTAGTAGTAGTAGTAGTAGTAGTAGTAGTAGTAGTAGTAGTAGTAGTAGTAGTAGTAGTAGTAGTAGTAGTAGTAGTAGTAGTAGTAGTAGTAGTAGTAGTAGTAGTAGTAGTAGTAGTAGTAGTAGTAGTAGTAGTAGTAGTAGTAGTAGTAGTAGTAGTAGTAGTAGTAGTAGTAGTAGTAGTAGTAGTAGTAGTAGTAGTAGTAGTAGTAGTAGTAGTAGTAGTAGTAGTAGTAGTAGTAGTAGTAGTAGTAGTAGTAGTAGTAGTAGTAGTAGTAGTAGTAGTAGTAGTAGTAGTAGTAGTAGTAGTAGTAGTAGTAGTAGTAGTAGTAGTAGTAGTAGTAGTAGTAGTAGTAGTAGTAGTAGTAGTAGT